GAAACAAAGTATCTTGCTACCTTAATTGCTTCGAAGGAAATTCTTTAGTTTCAAAAATTTCTTGGAGCTCTTGGGAAATCCTCCACATTAATTACTCTTCATGTTGACAATAAAAGAATTATTGATTAGTTGCAACACTAGAAGTTTCGAAAAACTATCACTATGTCAAAGATCTAATACATATAGAAATTCCATTGGAGTCATGGCCAAGCCTTGACTAAGGAAGGCACTAACAACAATCAAGGAGTGTTAGAGCTGAAATCCAAGATGTGATAAGTGCTTTGAGTCATATTTAGCAGTAATTTCAAGTGAAACCTTTAAACATAACAATAGTTCTTTCTTGTTTCAAGTAAGCAATTGTTTTCTGAAAAGATTCTATTCATTCTTTGACCTAACTACCACTTAGGCGCAGTAGAGCATGGTCTCTCAATCGTCAACCCTAATCCCTAATCGAGTAGGAGACTGGTCTTTCATAGGGATGATCTGGCCACATACTGAGGGCATCGCTGCAGCCTCTAGTGCTCCTGGATCCAGCACTCTACTCTTGCAAGTGTTGTTTTTCTGGCCTCACTTTTGCAGCTGCCCGGCATAAGCAACCCCGAGTGCCAACCCACTTAAGTTTGTTTCCAATCCAATCCATACACGCTAAAAGCCACTTGGAACCAAAACAATAAACTCACAATTGTGTCACACACTCACAGCAAGGCCGTCGTTGGCCATTTCCTAATGGTGCCAAGCTGAATCCAACCACACTATTTTGATTGAGAGCTCGCGATCAATCAAGAAGAAACCACCTAAAGGAAAACCGATGCTTTGCTTTGCTCCTGTTTTAGCTACACTCACTTCCAACTCGCTGCCTCTACTTCCGTTTAGTACATACACTATTTTACAATTGAACATCAAGTATCATAAGATGGTGGACGACTTACTAGGGTCGAAGCCTCTCCTCATCTCTGCCATTCACGTGCTGGTCGTGGTCGTTGATGTCCTTCACTTACAATTCTATGCTTTGGCGTTGCCTCGGTGGTCCGCACGGCTTTAAAATGGTGGGCCCAGATCACATGGCCGGACTGAAAGCACGTGTTTTGACAGAGATAACCAATCAGGCGCTCTTGATTTTAAAGCACGTGTTTTTCTCTCACATGCTTGACAGGCCTATAAATGTATGCAAGAATTGCTGTGACTTGCCAACATCGAGAAGTCATTGGAACCATGCTTCTTCGTGCTCTATCGCTCTTTGCATTGTGTTTGCTGGTTTCCGCAGCACCAGCATCACCCCCTCCTCCTGGTTCATGTTCATCCGACGCTGACTGCCCGGAGGCATACCCCTGCTGTAGTTCATGGGGAGACTGTGGCAACAAAGCCCCATGGTGTTCGTCGCCTCCTCCACCGCCTCCACCATGCAAGTCTCCTTTATATGGTACTAGTGCTGATGGTACTGCCTTCAGTGGAAGTCTTACGAGTACGCCACTGGAGGGGCTACGCATAATCAGCGGTTGTGTGGTTGATGCCATTCAGTGGAAGTCTTCGGGTTCTTCTTGGACTCAAATGTATGGAACGAACTCCTGTTCAGGATGTTTACCACAGCCGCCTCCGCAAGCTGGTCTGAGAAGCACATCCTACGAGGTCTTTTTAAGTTAACGTTTTTCTTACTTTCTCAATTTCTTTCTGCAGATCTCTTTGGGCTCGGATGAGTACATTTACAAGGTATCGGGTACAACTGGAACAGACAAAACATGCGGTGCTGGTTGGGCGGGAGAAGGTGTTGTTTCGCTGACTGTGCATGTCAAGAACATGAAAACTGGTAAAACCAAACCATATGGTCCATTTGGTACTTCGACGAGTGGCACTTCCTTCGAAACAGCACCAGGCAACATAGTCTCGTTCTTTGGATATGCAAGCCCCAAGTCATATATGAAAGGCATCGGTGTTATCTATTCGACGTGCCCATCCAGTTCTGTTCAGACCACCCCCATGGGGGCGTTTAGCATCATTTAAGGAGTTGCCAAACTATGGTGCTATGCCAGACTATGTAATAAAGATTTGGTGCTATGCTAAACTATGTAATAAAGATTTTGGTGCTGTATTATCTGAGCAGCTCGCAGGGCTCCAGAGAATACAAGTCGGACTGCTAGCAAAAATGATCTATCTATCTATATGCTATTTTGAGTGCCCATCCTGAAGCATGAGACGCATTTTTTGCGTCGCTGTCATCTTCCATCGCCTCCAATGGCGTCTTCACTTCCATGGTTGGGCGGGATCTTGTCTAATTGTTCTTTGCTTCGTTCTAGGAGGCTATCTAGCCTATCTATGAGGCTAAAGGTGTTGGTTCTTTTCTCATTGAGCTTAACAATGGGACTACATGCCAGATTGACCACAAAATTTTTTCCTATATCTTGTTCAATTTTCTGGAAATCAATGCAGTATTACTTTTTTTTTTCTTTTATGCCCCTTCTTTTTGTTCACCTAATGGCAGAGTAATATATTCATCCTTTACAACAGCCTTTCCCTCATTAGCAATTGGTGTAATTACTTAATACTATGACCAAAACTAAATAATCACATTCAATTAATGGTAACATTTATGGTGTATAGTATAATTCTTTTTACTTTTACTGCTAATCCTTGAGTTTCTCTAAATTTCTTCTATGAGATGATTATAAGGATGATTTGTATTATTAATTTGATCATTTTACAATGATTACTATCTATCATTCTTCAAATGATATTTGGCATTTGCACAAATTTCCCAAATGTTTACAAAGGATAATTTTACAATGATACAATGTTTTAAGCACAGACACTTCTGCAGATTAAAGTTGTGGGAATACTAAATTAGCACACGATGTGATTATACAAGAACTTTGCTGTAAAATGCTAATCTGTTGTCTTGAGAGCCACAGCCTCCACCCACATAGTGAAGAAATTTATTGCCAACAAGTAATAGTGGCTACGTAAAGATGCTAGAGATAATGGGCAAGTGTAAAATGGACTTGAAAAGGTAATGAACTGAAAGGGAAAATGTTGCTTCAAGGATTGAACTGTTAGCATATGCCTCTATGGCCTTGAAAATAACAGGCCAATAAAAACCACCATTGTTGATCCTGCAAAATGGCCTTTATAAAGGTGAAAGACTTTGACTTTAGCTTCTGTCAAGCAGCACAGTCAAGCTGTCAACAAGAAAAATTCTGAGCCTTGATCTCCAAAGCCCGTTGCCACACCATTGGCAAGTTGTCTGGGGACTCTTGTGATGCAAATTTGACCTTGGTGTCAATGGGTGCACAATAGATTTGCTTTTGTCAACTGCCCAGGGTTTGCTAGGCAATTTATACTCTTGGTTCTAGTATGCTCAAGAGTTGATTACATAGGAACTCTAAGGTTGTCAATGTAAAGTTAGAGGAGTGGTTCATTCTTGATGCAACTTTTCATATACCAATATAACTGTCTCCTCAAAATAAAGGTGACTTTAAGTTCCCTAGTCCACCCGCTGGACCGCTTTGTAGCTTTGCTAAGATTTGTCAATGCTTATTCCCCATTGAGTGGTACACTCTAAGCCACTTGGGGTTGATGTTCATCAAGTAGTATTGGCAGCATGCTTGGCAAGCCCTGGTCGCTGGCCATGAGCACTGTGTTGGCTGGCCCAAGAATCTCTGCTTAAACTCATTTCTTGGATTTTCAATGACAAAGCTTCTTATTGGTCACACTAATTGTGGCGAGTTTCTTTGGAGTAGCCTTCTGGTCACTGGAAACGCTTCGGTATGCCGAGAGCCAGGCTTGGCTCCGTGGCACCACTTGGAGCAGGTGATCGATGTAGAGACAGATTTTCCTTATCACTTTTCTTGCAACATTGGCAGACGGAGAAGTCACAAAGCAAGCTTAAATGATGGAGAAAACCGGCATTTGATCTGAAAGCTCGTCGCTCTCAAAGACAGGCAAACGTCCTATTGTTGTTCTTTCCCTACAGTAAAAATTTTGAGCTCAAATGAGTAGCTACTCATTACTGTCCTGCCACGACTCAAGGGCCGCAAAGAACCTCTGCCAACCGAAGTAGACCCCCTCGATGATAAGAGCAGTCAGGTCCCTGGGATCGTCGTCGTCCTCGCGAGCACTCTCGAAGCACTTGAGGTAGACATCCCGGTTCACAAAGTCGTGGTGGCGGCCAGCACCAGCAGCAGCAGCAGCGAACAAGACGTTGGGGAACACAGCCACGCTGCGAAGCAAGTAGGCCAGCATCATCCTCCCGCATCGCCCATTCCCATCCACAAACGGATGGACGCACTCAAACTTGTAGAAGAATTCTGAGGCCAGCACCAGGAGCTGCTCCACCGTCTTGCAGCTGATTGTCGTCCTCTCCTCCTCGAAGAGCCGCTGCAGATCCGCGTTGGTCTTGCTCACCAACTTGGACAGCTTCGGCCGGATTGCCCAGGCATCCGCGTAGAAGTGCTGCCTTCCGCTGCTCGTGATCGTCATTGCAACCTCGTTGCCGGACCGAAACAAGCCCGCGATGTCCGGCCTGCCCGACTCCATAAGCAGCTCGTGTGACTGCCTGAGCTTGTAGTTGTTGACGCTGGGATCCTCCTCCTGATCCTGGAGCCACCATGTCTTGTTGAATGCTCGGGACAGGCAGCGGACTTGTTCCAATCTCTCGTCCCGAGCCACTACTTTGTCGTCCAAGTCCCCTTGGAGCTGCTCCAGGGCGTGGAGTGTTTCATCCCGGGTATCAAAGCCTTCCAGCTCCAGCTTGTTCACCTGGAACAGGAAGTCGGCCATGGCGTCGCGCTGCGCGTACACGTCCAGCGCCCATGCTTTGGCATCGCCATCCAACGCCAGGAACCTCTTCACGTACCCACAAATGGCGTCCACCATGCTGCTCGTCGCCGGGGCTCCGTCGCCACCGCACCTCCAAAAGGGCCTCTCCGCGTATCGCCCCATCTGTAAGCCCTAACCAACAAGGGCTCCATGTTATACCCTTTTCATTTTAAGGTGGCTATGTATAAAGCTTTCTCAAATTTGTGTAAACCTATATTCCGAGAATATTCCAAGGCCCCTCAAAATATGCAATATGAGAGCCTAAACACTGTGTAACCATTTTCATGCATGGATATTTGTAGTACTTGGTACCTGAGAACCGAACATGCTATCCAGCTGGCCTGTTGAAATCATTTTCACAGCACAGGAAAGTGTTTGTCCATACCCCAAGTGTCACTTTAATCATGCCGGTTGCAGCTCGAGCCCGCTTCTTCCCCTTGTTTTGCGGCGCAGAAGCACGAAATCAGCTTGAAATACAAAGATGTCACACCCTGGCCAAAGATCACATCGCCAAGGTGAGAATCTCAACACTCTAGAATCCTCAAAGTCTCACCTCACGCGAGAATTCCAGGCAAAAACAGCCATGGACAAGTTCCTCCAAAGCGTCGAGTCGAATCCCCACAGACGAGACGCAGCCGAGCCTTGCTACTCGCTGCACGAGCCAGGAGACCTCGTCTATGGAACCGCTCTCGTCTTTCACGGATTCGGGCAATCTCCACAGCAGTGCCAGTTGCTCGCGGACTACCTGTTTGACAATGGCTTCAATGTCTACCAGCCTTGCCTTGCTCGCCACTATCTCGGAAATCCGACTCTAAACTGGCCGCAGGTGACACATCTTAAAGTTCGCTCTTTACTTTCATCTCCACCCAGGTCGATCTCAAGCCGGAACTGAAAGAGAAGATCCGGCAAAACTTCCTCAAGGATCCGGTCCTAGCCAAGGAGCTCTATATCTCTGTAAGCCTTCGGCTATGACGTTTTCATCCTGCTGACAGTCTGCTGGCCTGTGTTCTTCGTGATTGTTGTCCCAGGCGGAAGACACCATGCAGCGAGTTCGCTCCCTTTCCCCCGAAATGTCTGATATAATCGCTGCGCTCGACCAAGGTGACCGTAGCCAGGATTTCCAGAGGTCTGTGAGCGCTGCTCTTCACCTCCAAAATGAACTAACCACTTGGCTGCCAGGTTTTTCGACTCGAGCCACTTGGACTACTTCACGGAAGCCGAGCAGCGACTAGAAGAAGTGCGTGCTCTGCCAGGCCCGATCTTCGCGATAGGCATCTCGATGGGAGGAGCCACTGCGTTGCATCTCGCCAACACTTATCCAGACACAATCTCGAAAGTCGTAGCGTACGCCCCGCTCCTGAAGGTAGGACGAAACTTAGGCTTCGAAACAAAAGAAGAAAGAACAAACTTACTAATGATCGATCGATTTTCTGGCCAGACAATGGATGATGCGAGGAGAGAATTTGCTCTGGCGATCGGCCCGCTGGACGTGAAAGAAACCGGATGGGAGCCATCGCTCCAGTTCACAGTGGGATGCCTTGTAGCAATCGACCTGTGTGGGACTCGCATCAGCCAATCCAACATAGATAACCTCGCAAAGAAAGTCGCTACCTTGCTACTCTTCACCGCAAACGAAGACTCGGCCGACCTTCCAACGCAGGAGAAATTCGCGCAAAGACTAAAAGCCATCTCCTCCGGTAGGATGCTTTGATCTTCAACAATGCGGAAAAATTCTCCCGTTGCTACTGTCCCAGATGGAGTGCCACACCTGCATTACACATATCGCCGCGAGCTGGAAGTCCCGCACGCGATGATCCACCCAAACGAGGTAGGAAATCGAGAAATTCTCGAGAGATTTCTAACCTCTCGCTTGGCGCAGAGGCCGATCGCGAACAAGCTGTGGAGAAGAATGTACCAGGAGACATTTCGATTCCTGACCACCGGGAAGGCGCGCCAGGACGAGCTCGATTCGCTGCGCCAAGACGAAACCCTACCCCAAGTACCATAAACCCTAAAACCCCAAATTCTCGGGAGCAAACTTTTATCTCCTCGTGAGAGCGAACAAACTAAACTCTAGAACTTTGGATCAAACCTGAGAGATCTATTCCTATCCTAGATAGAAGTTTTTCGTTGTGATCTTCTTCTCAAGCTCCTGTGACTCTCGAAAGAACTTAGAACTCTCTGGAACTTGACGCTCGCTCTACCTGCAAGGAAGAAAGAACGTCGATCAAAACACGAGAAAAGAGAGAGAACCACCATCGCCACTCGCCTGGAAGAACTTGGAACTCGGCATGGATGGTGTGGAGTCGCTTCACTGCTCGCCATCCGAGGCCGTGGATTGCTGGCCTTGAGCCTGCGATTGCTGGGCTTGGGTCTGTTGATCCGGCTGCCACTGCTGCTGCTGCTGCTGCTGCGGCGACGCCATGTACTGCATTGGCGGCCGCTGCTGCTGCGCGTAGAGCGCTGGATCCATTGGAATGGCCGGCCTTCCAATCACCCCCGGAGGAGTCTGCCCAGGAATCATGTAGTACTGCATGTCCGGAGCTCCGATCGGCAGCGCTGATCGCGAGACACCCAGCGCCTCGTCCTTGACATCCTCGCGCGGCACGATGTCCACCAGGAAATCGAAGATGTCCGTGCGAGTGACCGCCGCCGCGATGTCGTTCTTCTGGAGCGTCCGCCGCTTGTTCTCCTCGGTGTGCATCCACGCGCGCAGCGTCAGCTCCAGGATGAACATCTCGCACGCCTTGGCGAAGAGCACGGGCGCCTCGCCCGAGATCATCCTCACGTCCTCGTCCGCCTTCATGATCTTCTTGATGCGCGCCAGGGGCAGGCTGTGCGTCTTGAAATCCATCACCTCCTGGACCTCTTGCATCTGCCCCATCCAAAACTCTTGCATCTGCCGCTGCTGCTGCTGCTGCAAATGCTGGTAGCTCATCCCCGGCGCTGGGAATCCCCCCGCTGGCTGCCCCGCCGCGATCTGACCTAGCGCCATGCCCGGAGGAGCCCCAGCGCCCGCCATTCCCTGCCCGGCGTACTGCGATTCGTTCTGCGAGCTCTGATCCATGCTCACCCCTGCCACGGCCAGGAGGAAGGATCTCAGCTAGAGCGCCGCGCGGCGGCGAGGGATTTTCCGGGAGGAAAGATTGGAAATATCGGGCCTACCTGGTGGATCGCGCTCGCGTCTCCCGGCCTGTGCGCCTTAGGGCTCGCGCTTCGTTGCAGGCCGTAAGATCCCACTAGTCCGTTGCCCTTCACTGACGGCCGTCAATCGGGGGCTTGGCACGTGGTGCTCCATCACACCGTCTAATTTAAAATTTCTAGGGGTTAGGGTTTAATATTGAAAAAGTACTAACTAAATTAAAGTGGTATAACAATTTTTTTAATAGTGTAATATTTTTAATATTTAATATTATTTTTAATTTATTAAATTAGCTGATCCTTATTTCTAAAAATTGATTAAACAATCCCAAATTTGTGTAGCTTATAAAATATTTATTTTTACTAAATAGATTTCAATTGTTACTTGCCTCACTCATATAATTTTTAAGAACTCTAGATATATGAGAATAAAAAAATTTAAATACTCGACATACATACTGAAAGTTGTTGAAGAATTTTTTGATATAAAAATCTTAATCCGAAATCAAGAATAATCTTCATTATAATGTAGTCATTGGTATTAGAAATAAATAATTTATCATAAATAAAATAAGAATGTAGATTGAATTCTATTTTATATCCTAAAGGCAAAAAAGTTAATCTCGCAGTTCTATAATTTATTTTATGTAAAGTAGAATGTTATTGATGTTATTTTAGATTATACACTTTTAACTGTGAAAACAAAACTTACAAAAATCAGATTTCTTTTTTATCCCACTATGGTTCTGTTTGATTTATACAAGTTACCCACCGCTTTCTTCATTGAGCTGCCTTCGTTGGTATGAAAAAAAAACCTTCCCAACGTCAAAGGAAAGCACTGGCAAAAAACCATCCAGCCGATACACTCTGCCTGTTAGCAATTTGTCTGTCATGTGATCTATAATACAGCACCAGTCGTGTCTTGTCTTTCTGCCGCTGCACCACCAAAATTATTCCAAAACCGAAATACTCCCGAGAAAAATGTACACCTTGCACCAAAAAAACACTCCCTCCCACCTCAGCTTCCCGCTTGCCTGCCTCGTCGTGTTGATTTCAATCCTTCTCAACGTCCGAAGAACTCTGGCCACCGTTGTCATTCTCGTCGTCTTTGCTGGAGCAGCTGCTGCTGCTAGAGGTTTCAAAATGGCAGAGGCCATTTCGTTCTTTTCCCGGACGAGTTCTGACGTTAGACCCAACGGGGAATGGCTCCTGCCAAGATCCAAACAAGAAAAGTTAGAAGAGTGTATAAAAGTCTGCGCAGTATTGCTTACAGGATCGCCCAGGTTGGGACCTTCCGAACGAAACAGAATTGGGCGGCATCTCTTGTCTTCGTTCATGAGGCTTGAGTTTTGGAAATGTGCGACGAGGGCAACCTTGCCTTGTATTCGAGCGTAAGCCAGAGAAGCAACCTTCTCGCTGTTGAACTTCTCCCACTTCTTTCCATTGAAGGTCTGTAAGATCGAGAATGAGAATGCGCACGAAGAAAACAACGGTGTCAAACCTTGAAGAAAGGGACGATATGCACAGGTGCAATCATGTTGATGAAAGCATACCCCACGTTACACTTATTCTGAAAGGAGAACCAACAATCAGCAAGAATGTAAGGATTTCTCGTTATACGATTACCTTAAAATCAATAGGTAAGTAGATGAAATCATAGGTACCGCGATGATGTTCGTCAATTGTTGACAACAGCATCTTCGACGTGTACCTAGACACTCAGTAGCAGATCAGAAAAGTTCAAACTCGTAAAAATGAAAGAGAACTTACTTGTTTGGTATGTTTTTTATCATCAGTGTTGTCCGTAAGTCTTCCCCGCGAAGAATACGCTCCAAGTCAAGCTGATACTTCTTGTTCTCTGCCAGAGTCAAAGTGCTGTCGGTTCTTCGGCTTCTACAACGGTCGCTAAAAGTCTCCAAAGTCGCACCATTTGGAAAGGAACGGGGCCTAAGTTGTGGTGACATAACACCCAACCTGGGAGAATCCACCAATCCTTTCGATGTAGCAATAGCAGCCAGGTTCAAACCGCCGTGAGTGAGGCCAGCCCCCTTAGAACCATTCATTCTCAGGCCGCCGAGAGATCCTGGCCATCCTAAGGCTGATCTCTCGGCCAAGTCAGAGTAGTACCTATTCTGGCCATCCATCAGACTCTGCTCGGTAAATGTTGCTGAATAATCTGCAGCTCGGCTATGCCCGTCCGCATGGTACATGGAATTCGCGGAGTATAGCGAGCCCGAACTGTTCCATGGCAAGTCCCCGCTTCTCGAAGCAGAAACTCCAAAAGCTGGAGAGAAATAAAAATGGCATGATCAGTCCACGATGACTGTTTGATTGCTGAAAACTTACCTCTGGATGATTGCTCGAGAGACGGCACGTCACACAAGCTCGAGACTGCCCTCTGAAGGGTACCAGCATCTAGCTCGTCATAATTTCCAAAGCCGGGTGGAACCCGTGTTGGACTGTCGAGGTCAGGAATCTGTAACGATGGAAATTGCTGACGGATTCGAAGGCCAACAGACCGCTCCGGTTGTATGAAAGAATCAGGATTTGCGGACATGCCGTTTCGTAGCGGAGAGGACACACGTGCAGGTAACGAACCAGCATTTACGTTTAGAGGCTTGATACCCAAGGAACCAAAAGTGCCTCGCTCGTTCAACTTATTCATAGGAGTACTCCACTGCGGTGAATGCCCTGGAGTGCAATCAGTTAGATAAAATAAATAGAACGTCGTGCATAAAACAAACCTGCAGGCGAAGCACCCAATGATGCCTGAAGTTGCTGACACCGAAACTCTTCCTGCTCCAGCTCTTGAGTGAGCTGTTGCATTAGGCTGAAAAATAAATCTCAAAAATCGATTCCAATGCTTGCAGTAGTCGAGCACATTACCTTCTTCGAGCACCACCGGGACGACTGGGTTCCAGCTTTATACGCTTTCCTGCGATGTCGCTTCTGTTCAAGGCTCTCAAGGCAGCTTCAGCTGCCCTGACATCGTAAAACTCTATAAACTTGTGGTGCTTCTTGTGTGGGGTCTCACGTATCTGACGTAGTATCATCCACATGTGAGAAGCCTGTCTAGTACAAGAGCTTGTACTCACCTCTTTGATCTCACCATAAACACCAAAAATATGCCGAAGGTCGTCGTTGGTCACTGAGGCGTCGAGATTAAATACCACTAAAGTGCCCTGGTTAACATCTTTATCTGAGGGGTTATCCTGCAAGAGACCGTGTTAGTTCCATGCCGTATATTGCTACACAATACCTTCGGAATGGAAAAGTGAATATCTAACTTTCGACGCCTGAGCGGTTTGTTCTGGAGGGCGCGCATTGCAGTACGGGCTGCTCGAATGTCGTAGTAGGAAATCATCACGAATCCCCGATGCTTACAGGCGGTATACAAAGTGCGAATGGCACCATATTGCTGGTGAAAAGGGAGAGGACACAAAATGAGCAAAGAAAAGGTAAAACAAGATTTCGTTACCTCAAAAAGTGCTCGCAGCTCCACATCTTCAACGTTACTGTTTATGTTCCTCACAAAAAGCGTTCGCGAAGGATGCTCGCCGTAGGGGTGCTCCCCGGCCAACACTGCGGCTGTGTTGCCACCAATCTGATAGTTGTTCAAGTAAGGATCACCCTCCAGCTCCAGGCCACCCCCGCTGTTGAAAATGTCGTAGTCATCCTCGTTACTGTTCCGCTCGTAAGCATAGCCCACCTCGGCTAAAAGATCCTCCTCCGCATCAGGAAGAAGTCTGCCTAAAGCGTGTGACTCGAGCTCTTGCATCGATCCGAAAAGCTCGTCAGTTTCAGTCTCGGCATCCGGATCAGAGACTACCGTCGGTTCCGACAGTTTGACTGCATGCATAGCAAAAAAAAAAAAAAAACAGAGAGAAGATCAGAGTAAGAGAAAAAGATGATTTTAGTAGTAGTAACTTACGTCTTTGCTGGAGCGTATTTGGTAGAGAGTGGGCGAGCCCATTTATCGGAGAAACCGGGGGGAATGGGTTTCTTCCTCTCCCATTTTCTAACCAACCATTGGCGTTGTTGGCGACACCGTCGTGATTTCTAGCTAGATTGTGAAGCCCATTCGCCCAGTCCGGCTCGGCAAGCGACCACCCGTGCTGGGAGAAGGCCTCGAATTTTCGAGCGCCAGCGGGGAAGAGCTGGCCGACGCTGCGAGTTTCCATCTCCATCGCAGAAAGCTCCTGCATTCACAGATTTTTCTCACAGCGTCAGGCACCAAGAATCCACGCCATGGCGGGCAAACCTGGCGAGGGAGTGAAATTACGCCGCGAGAGGGACTACGCTCGCCCTAGCACGAAAGCGCGCGATCAATTGAGCGCGAGAGAAGAGCTCCGGGGAGACGACAAGGAGGAGCGTGTGAATGAGGGAGCGCGATCATGACGAGGAGCCTAAAGCAGGGGAAGAGAGGGAATCGAGTAGATCCAAGCGAAATATCCAGCGGGAACTTGATCTTGGGGCGGGAATCCATGATTTGGAGCTCCTGGAGCTCACAGCAGCGGGATCACCAAGCCAGAGGAATCCCATGCGTAGCTTACATGATGCAGATCGGCACAATCCAGAGCTCGAAGCGGCGCCTGTTCGATGCGTCCTCCACTGCCGCGATCGATCGATGCTCCATAGCTCTCTCTTCTCTTTCTCTCTCTTCTCTCCCTCGCGCTCTCTCTTTCCCTCTTCGTACAAAAACCACGCAAAAACAAAGAAAGAAAAGGGAAAGAACGCACCAACACGCATACACACCCTCTCTCTAGCCCGCGGGCAGACACGGGCAGCGCGGGCAGGCCTGCCCGTTTCGCCCTTGCCGGCCGGCGCAAGATAAGTTTTCACGAGCAGCTTCCCGGCAGCATTTCCGTTGACCTGACGCGGCACGATCGCCGCCGTTGTGGCCTGAGATGGACGGGCAGGATTTGGCGGGCCAGAAGCTCGTTTGTCGTTACTCGCGTTGGTCCCAATGGCCATGTGGCCCAATGGGGCCCTTGCGTGTTGTCCTATTGGCTCAATCTTATCTCTACGGATTCTAATTTCTTTTTCTTTGATTGATCGAGAGGAGATGGTAGGGTTAGCTAACACCACCTTTGCTTTGTTTCTATCTCCCGCCCCGGAACAAAA